AACCTTCAATCGCCAACTATATTTTGAATTTCATATGACTTTAATTTTGGATTTGATGAAAATTCATTTAAGAAATGTTCAACAGAATTAAATATATTATCATTAAAATAATTGTTATCTTTTAATACATAATTGATATCAAATGATTGCAAATCATCGGGCACATCAATATCACAAACTTCATCAAGAGATACTTTAAGAAAAAAAAATCTATTTGCTTTGGATGAAGCACCGTGGAGTTCTACTTCCTCTTGTTTTGCTCTTTGGATTATGAAATTACGTATTTTTACTTCGGTTTCACGGTGGCGTTTTGTTTTTTCCATTCGTCTTATTTCTTCAGCTTCACGTTTCATTTTTTCGAGTTCATCTCCAAATTTTGTTTCTTCGATTACTTGTTTTGTTGTTTCTTCTTCGACCAGTTGTTTTTCTCCCAACATTGGTAGAGTTTCTTTATGACCATCGGTCGTATCCATACTTGTATAATTTTTTTTTTTATCTACAAAAGAAGAAAAAGATATTTCGTGAACAGAATCAGAGAGAATGACACAGTCGAGTGACTGTAGTTAGGCAAGGCTGAATGTCAAAATGAAAATAATGTGTAGATTAGTTGTTTTATAATTCACATGTGACGACATTCATTCACGATTGCCAAAATGCAATAGAATTACTTAGTTCGTCGACTTTAGCCGACTATTTTTGCCTTCATTCAGTAGCCGAAAATAATGAATAGTATTACATAGTGTGATTGTGACGAACAGAGAGAGTGCGCGGCTATGCCCGTCATCATAATGGTATATTGTTTCATCTGCACATCTCTAGTCGTGCATTTTCTTTGGTTACATTCCCTTATATAAGAGAAAGTGATCACGCCTGAGCGGATAGAAACAAAGAGGTAGCGGTCACGCAATATAACAATGAGAGGATCACAAGGTCAATGCACGAGCATAGGAATTTAGTGAAGAGGACAATGCAGTTGAAGTGAACCGAAACGGTCAGAAAACCGTTACAATGATAATCAATGGATACAACGAGCTTTGTTAGTCATCGACATAGAGTCATAAACAAATTATTAAGTTTCTTGTATGGCGTTCGAAATAATCCTTCAATTTATCATTACGTAGAACATACAGATGAACTGACTGAGTGATGACAGTCAAATAGTCGATTAAAATACTTTCTATCGTTTTTTTTACCAATCACATATGTGTCATATAATTAGTAGCAAAGATGTCACTCAGATTTTTTTTCTCGTTCTTGTGACTGACGGTGACTCTTAGTAATTGTTCATTTTAAACTTTCTTATCGAAATCAGCTATGAATATGAATAGAAAATGAGTTCTTGTTTTCATAAAAACTATATTCTATGAAAAACAATTGTTAGTTTTTTTTCATTCAGTTTTAGGAGTCTTGCATTTCATAAATCAACAAAATTGTGAAATGATCAACATCGTGACTTGACTGACGAAGAAAACGATGAAATTAAAGAAGTATTTCAATTATTTTATGATGCTAAAGAGAATACACTTTACTATCATGTAGTTAAAGTAATAATATTCAACTTTTGTTTGCGCTCTTTTTATATTTATTTTAGCTTGGATATTGACATTATGTTTTGATGTTCGTAAAGCCATGGCTCAGAAAATAATGCGCAATTATGATAGTCAAGGTGATAATAAAACAAATTACCAAGACTATCATGAAATTGGTAAGTATTTTATTTAAGTGATGATTCTGCACTATATTAATTACTATATTTATCTACTGAAATGATATTTCAATATGACTTACGTGATGAAATACTTAAAAGCATTTATAAATTTATTTAATGATGATAAATCAAAAAAGTTTTCATTTAAGAAGAACTACGACTTGGTACAAAGTAATTATAAGAATATATATACACACACACAAGAATAGATATTGAATGTTCTGATTTGTTTTTGTTATAGATAACTCGATTATGATGCTAATGCAGAAGAACTTATTGCAATGATTGATGAATTTGATTTTGTATGGTTGTGGAGAAAGTATATTTAGAAAAAAAAAATGTTTTCTATATAGAATTGAATAATTATTTTAGTCAATTCAATGAATTTTTGGCCATGCTCAATTCAGATTAATCTATATAAAAAGAGCTCAATGAGTCAGAATAAAGCTGTTGTTTTTCTTTCTCTTATAGACATATTTACTCTAAGTTATTCTTAATTCAAATAAAATATTTGATTGCTTTTTTTAATTTTGAAATTTTTATAAATAATAAAAAAAAATCTTCAATGAACAATTGATTCTCGTTGAAACAACTAAATGTAAAATACATCTTGAGTTTCTCTTGTGTACTATTGTATTGGATATTTATTGTCAGTGAAAAAGCAAACCAAAAGGAACATTTCATGTTCTTAATCTTAAATTTGATGACCCCCTCGAACGTTTATCGAAGGTGATTAAAAAAAGGGTTTAATCGAATTCTAATCAAGCATAACTATGTTTCTAGAGGAGTAACATATATTTTTCTTAATATGATCAATAAACCAACGTGGGTGTGGATGTGAATGTAGGTGTGTTTGTGGACACTACCCAGAAACACACCCGCTTCAATATGAATGTAATTCAGAACGTTTTTTTACTCCACCCGTTAATCAAATAAAAATATGTTCTTTGCTACTTGTGGTTCAGATAATTGCCTTAGAGTACCCATCAATGGTCGTCTTTTATCAAAAAAGTCAATAAATATTTGTTTAATATGTAAAGTTTCTGGATGCAGAATATTTTCAAATTTTTGATGAGCTTTGGTTAATAAGTCGTATAAAGGTTTACCACATTCTTGATATAAACTTCCAAAATATAGATATTTTTTTATCGAAATTTTTAATTCAAACAAACCAATGGAAACATTTTTCATATTTTGTACAATTACATTTTCAACATGACATAATGCTGTTTGTAAAGAACAATAAGCAAATATATAAAGAAATGATGTTATTGTATAAATAAACATTAAATATTTAAGAATATCACTACGACTTGAATTCGTATTAAAATATTTTTTATTTTCACAAATATCTTTTATTAATTGAAAAGATAGATTAGGTGATGTAAAACTATGTTCTTATAGTCAAATATTTTCTTTACAAAAAATTTTATGATATGGTAGTAAAAAATGAAGAAGATAAATACTATTTTCAAGTCGAATTTCGAGTATGGAAATATTCGTAGGTTCGGACACTGACGTCGACTTTGATACTGAAACTATAAAAATATTCAAACATGATGTTGATACTTTTCATGTAGTTTGTATGAATAAGTGTATAGATGTGAGTATTTATGTGAGATGAACAGCCACAGCCACAGCTATACCCTCACGATATAGAGACCATAGATTATATATGTAAGAAGAGAAAGACAAAGAAGAAAAAATTCTATCACATGATTGAGTTGTCCCAACTTCAGAATTTCGGTGAAACATCAAGAATGAAAAGAGGTCAAGGCATATCATTTGTTTCCAGCTACCAAATGAACCGAAGAAAAAAGAATTGAGAAATTGTTTTTTTTTCGTGTAGAGAAAGAAAAAAATGGTCGATAGCAGAGTTCAACTCAAGTCAGGTTAGGATGGACTACAAAACCTCTGACCTATATCCGACATTGATATACAAGCATTTTTGAAGAGAAGCTACCGAGTTTACTATTCTATCTTAATGAGACATAAAGTCACAAGTCACTCGTACTCTTCTTAAACAAATCCAAGAGCAATTTCATATGCTAGAAATAAACGTATAATTTAGCTAAGCATTTTAAAACAAGCTCCCTAAGATCATCATAATACATATATCAAGTTTGAACATGAAACTAGATTTTTGTTTATCGTGTGAGTGCACTATTCTCTAATGTTATTCTTAATTAATTTGTTTTACATTTCGAAATGAATCAGTTTGTAAATAATTAGTTCAGTAAAATTCGTGCTGATGAATTGGAAACATTTAGAATTTATGCTGGAGTTACAAATGAGAAGATAATTGAGACAATGCGACGACTAATAGTTAAGAGAGGGTCCGCCAGAAAACCGACCAACTTTACATAGGGATGTCCGCCGCTGAATTTTTATTTTGGACTTTTTGTAGCGCAAACGAAAGATCATATTAAGAAACCTGTAAATCCAAAATATGAAGATTTTCTGACTTACCTGTGAAAAATTACGAATGTCACAATCTTCATTTTTTATGACTGGACCATAAAAATTAAAAACAATTAACTTTTTTACATTTTAATGGTATTTTGAGATTTTCTCTCTTTTTGTTCATCGTATTCAAATGGGTGAGGNAAAAAAAATCCGTGAAATCTTGAAAATCACAAATTCAATGTTTCTTCAAGACGTAGTGGTAAGACAATATCATTGAATCGATTCCACTTCTATGCGCAACTAAATTGCTATTTGATAATTGTCCATAATACTAAATGCATGACCTAAAAGAGTTTCTTATTTTCTGATCTTTATTTGTAGATATGAGAAAAGCTCATATTGATCTTAACAATGATGGCATTGTTGGTCGTCCACCAGACACATTTCCAGGTGGTTACCGAGGCCCTTATTAAGGCTATGGATGCTCATTGAGTTTTATAATAGAGCAAACTCTTTCTATCCGTATTTTTCACATTACTTCCTATATTCTTTTTTATTCATCATATATCACTTTTCTCATATCTACAAATAAAGATCAGAAAATAAGAAACTCTTTTAGGTCATGCATTTAGTATTATGGACAATTATCAAATAGCAATTTAGTTGCGCATAGAAGTGGAATCGATTCAATGATATTGTCTTACCACTACGTCTTGAAGAAACATTGAATTTGTGATTTTCAAGATTTCACGGATTTTTTTTCAGATTCAGATTCAAAATAATTCACAGTTCTACCTTTGCTTACCATCGACTTGCATTGAAACATAATTTATTTATTGTTCATTGTATGACTGTTCGATGTATGAAATAAAACTATATATTTATAATGTGCTAAGTAAAGAGTGTAAAAGCAAGAAACGGTACTTCGATTAGAAGACTCGTCCTCTTCTAATAGGTAGAGGAATTTATATATTCTTTCATGATTTCCTTTGCACACGTAAGGAATAATAGTGTCTAGTATGTTTTATCAATAAATGTTCGATACGATGCGTCAATGGAAGAGAAACGATACTTTTCTAAAATGACTAGTTGTCGTTATTTTTTTCTAATTTTCATAATTAACTTAAGAAATAATGCATTGATATCTCGAAGTGATGATCATTTACGCGATTATCTCTGACTTATTTTTAAAAAAATGTGACCTATCATATTCATTATTCGGCATAAAAAATTCTCACAAATCGACGACTTTATATTAGGACAAATTAACGACATTAACTTACAATACTTAACTAACTTGGAGGGCGAGATCGAATGTGCATATAACGAATAGGCGTTCACACTTGTACACCACTGCTCAAGATGCTCATATGCAAAAATAACATTAAATTACAGTGGTTTACAACATGTACTTGTTATGTTGACTACTTTTATAGACATAATCATGGTCGACGAAAACAGAAAAGGTCAATGTTTGAGAAAATGTGCTTCAGTTCTATGTGGAATGTTTTTGATACCGAGACATTTGTGTAACAACTAATACTACTAGCAATAAAATATCAGAAATACGATATTTGTAGAAGTAATTGTTCAATGATTTGTTATTCTGCAGATTTTTGATGGTATTGTGTAATTTGTTGCTAGATAAGTAAGATTGTAACTGGAATAATAAAAATAATAAATGCAACAATATCAAGGAGGAAAAAGCGAGACTTCATCTATTTCAAAAAAATTTGAAGTATGGGTGAAGCACGGCTGAAATACAAGTCAAATACAAGTCAAGTATACTGAAGACAGTTAGAGGGTGTGGGTGGCTTGTGGATGTGGGTGTGAGTGGCGGGAGGGTGTGGGCGTGGGTGTGAATATATGTCTCCGTTTTGTGCAACATGCACACCCACACCCTATTTTTCTCCTCTACCCTGTATTTATTTTTATTTCGTATAGATTTCAGTTTACAATTCATAGAAAACGATTTCATTTCATGTCGTTTATGAAAAAATTGATTTTCTGATATTCAAATTAAGATAACATTAAATAACATACATAACTACTGTCATGTATCGATAAAGAGAATTTCAAAATACGAAAGAAAACAGCCAGAATAAATGTAGAATTGAAGATTCTGATAAATACATATCTTACCGGGTAATATTTCTGTTTTATTATTGCTAATAAAAAATGATCTCGAACATCTTGGTATAGTTGCACATGAACATGAACTAATACTATTATTATATGTTATAGGAGTTATTGACATAATATAGCTATCATTAGGATTTGATACTGCAAAATTCCAATTTGTGAAAAACATATTATGCAGTTGATTAGCATGAAACATTTCTGTTATGTATTTGTTCTTATGTTCGTCGATAATTAGTTGGTAAGATCCCTATAATTGCTCAATGAACTCTTGAGAAATAAAATAACTTGAACATATTTGATGATGAGCAGTTATTGTAATTGAAAGAAATTTTGAATATGGTATAGCTACTTTTGAACATGTACATGATAATGATGATGAATATTTATTTTTTAATTGTTCAAATATTAATTCTGTTGGAGAATTTACTGTCACAGAATGCATTTGTAGATTTAATCCAGTAAAACGTATTATAACTACAAGTACTAAAATAAATAATATAATATAAAGACGAGTTACTTTTCGATGACGTTGTATAACTGAAATTTTTTCTGTTGTTTGTGATACTTCAGATAATTGAGCTTTCGGTATTTTATAATATAAGTTTAATGTTTGCATGGATTGTCGAAGTTGAGCGAGAATAAAAGTAGTGCAATTAGGAACACCTTAAAATATGAAGAAATGAAAAAAAAAGAAATTGATTTTTTATCAATCTCTATAATATAACTAAATTCATTATATAATTTTGAATATTTTACTGCATGCAATCATTTATTAATAGAGAGTTTGTAACTAATTCAATATCTTGTTTGTATTTATTAATAGTTCTATAGTATTCTATTTATTCTTGCCTCTTTCTATAAAGAATTTCTTTTTAACATTTTTTTGACGATTGCAACAATGATAATATATTCGTCGAAGTAATTTTACCATAGGAGGAATAAATATTCGAAGTGTGACGGAAAGACCACCAACTATACCAAGTATTGTTGGAACAATATAAGCTCTATTAAAACGTTCTTCATAAGTATAAATACACTGATCTAGTGCACATTGATTATAATAATGCTTGTATTTATTTGAGCAATAATTAAAGCATGATTTCACAGCAATTTTTGAGCAATATTATGATATGAAATGTGCAATAAATAGTTTATTATATAACAATATTAATTTCATATTTGAGCAACAAAAAAAGAGAAAAACTGCATTATTATATTTATAATTGGCAATAAACAAAAACAAAAATGAAATTTATAACTGATCATTGTACCAGTAAGACTGTTTTTGCTTTCTATAGACTGTTTTTTTTTTCTTTTTGTACTGATTTCGGTTTTTTTTTGCCTCAAATGGAGGATGGCAATATTTTTATTTAATGGAGATGCTAATTGTGATTCCTTTCAGTAGAAGGAATATTACTGTTTTGGGTCATAGTGCATAATTCGACAAAGTAAATTTCTGATATTTTTCTTATGCAAGCAAATAAAAGTCTGAAATCTTGGATACATATATATATATATGTAAGTTCATTAACTCTATCGATTGGGAATAAAATATGGATCTTCTTGAGTGATTGCAGATCTTCGCAGAATCAGCTCAATCTATTAGGAATCTCAATTTTCGATTTGGGATCTTCGTGGGTCTTGCCGTATATTAGAAATGCTCTAGTACTGTTAGAAGGTTGAAATTCGATATCGATGTCGTTTTTAGAATCAGAAACATAGTATGCACCACATTGCGATTTGTATAACTTATACACACTATTTCGTCAAGATGAGAAAGCACTTATGATTGTAAGTAAACGAATGATTATCGCTCTTTTTTATATACATCTAATGTCCTATTCAAATTAATTATTGCTCATTCAGTATAATTATCGCTGATTCAATATATATATTGCTCATTCAATATATTTATCGCTCAACTTGTTTACTGCTCATTTCAACCATTTTATTGCTGAGTTAAATATAAGTATTATAATAAGAGCTATAATTAGTAGAAGTCGTCCAATCTTCAATAAATAATTGTGAAATAATTTTATCTAATATCATATCAGGAGAAAAACGACTATGAATAGTTGGATCAAGTGCAGTGACATTCATTATACGAGAATCTGCTGTAAAACTCGATGAATCAAATGAACGCCATTTAATAAGCATTTGAATACATGATGCATTATAAAAACATTTAAGTGAAGATGCAAGAAGAGAATCAACAAGTAGACAACTTACAAATAAACCCGGTATTTTTTGGAACGGTTCAATCCAATATTGCATACAAAATGATTTTCTACAATAAAAACCTTCAGAACGTACACAAGAAACACTAGTAACACATGAACGAGCATTGCCCCAATAAGTGTTTGATATGCAATGTGTCGACATTGTACCATTGTTCAATACGACAGTTAGTATTCCATTAACAGGAGCGTTGGTAATGTATTGATTCAGTTGAATTGAAGTTCTCACAAATCGAAACAAGTGAGCAAATGATGATATAGTCTTAAATAATTCAAACAAATTAATAAATCATATAGAAAAAGAAAAAATTTCATGATTAACAATACTTTAAATGCATCGAAAACAAACTAGTCATTTGGCTGAGATCAAAATCATTACAGAAACATTTAGATTCATAAAAAATATATTAAAAATTATGAATTCTTTTAAGCTTTCTGGTTCTATGAAGATGTAAATCTTGAAACGAGATGGTATGTCATTAATGTCAACATGAATATAGAGCGAAAATAAAACTATAGCAATGGAGAAAAAGAAAAATCATTTGTTATCGAGAATGCTTTGTAAGAAGTCAAATATTTCTTTTTATTTTATGTTGAAATTAGTCTAGTTTTATAGAAAAAAAAATTTGTAAAACAATTATTTATGTGATTCATTCATATTAAAATTTGTTTCTACATAAGGTTTGAAGTAGAGTGAATATTTTAGAACCGCTAAAACGAAAATCTAAACCAGATATCATTCCACTTAATCCACGAAAATAGAGTAACCATGCATTGTTTTTCACAAAGTCACTTGAACAAACTTGATAATAATAAGGCTCTATTTCTACGATTGATGAATAAGATACAGAAAAATGAGTACATGAACAGACAAGTGTTGATGGATATTTTCTATGTAATCTTTCAAAACCATTCAATGATGGTTGAGACACACCATTAATTCGGCTTTGAATAGTAATTGAGGGTGAGTGTGGGTGTGAGCCTAGCTCTTCTATCCACTCACACTCACACCCACACCCCACACCCACACCCACACCCACACTCACACCCACACTCACACCCACACCCACACCCACACCCACACCCACACCCACACCCACACCCACACCCACACCCAC